GGGGATGGGTCTTTTGCCCCTCAGCGACACAGCAGTGGTGAACCTGAAGAAAACTCTCTTCCGCACCCTTGGTCGACCACCTCCAGGAGCTCACTCCCCCTCCCGCGACGATTTCCCCCTTCCGGTCATCGCTATGCCAGAAACCCCACCATTCCCCCTCCTCCACCTCCCTCTCCCTTTCCGCCCTCTCCCTCCAAGGACGTCCTCCTGGATCCACCTATGGTCTTATAATGAAAAGGATGCATCCCTAAGTTCTGAAATTGTCTTTATTTGTAATACTCGGATTGATTGTAAATCATTGTCGAATTCACTTTCCTGCCATTCCTTTTTCTGCATTTTTGCAAAATTTCGTTTTTTTTAACGAGTGTAATACCATCTTGGCTAGAACTTGTTTTTGCCTTCCCATACATCATATCCTTGGATTAAGATTAGGTGCTTTAGTACGGCGCGGAAGCAATGTTATGCTGTGACAAAATTCCCTTCATTTACGCGCTTTATAAAAGGCTTAGGGACTTAAGGACTAGCTCAAGGATAGCAATCAGCAACAGCAGCCATCCACTGGCATGGCTGCCGATAACTCCTTCTTTCGAGAGATGCTTACAAATAATCGAATGGCTGGTAATACAATGTTTCCTTGAGGTATTGCTTTTTGCAGAACGTCAGCGATATCTTAAGACCAAAAGTTAACCATTTTCTGTTTATTCTTTCTGAGAGACAGGGACATTTGGAAGTAGCCATTTCGCTTACCAGGCAAGCTACGAAGCTGAAACCTTGAAAGGATATTCTATATTCATTTGTGGTCGTAAAATTCCCCGAACGCAGACATGAGGAACACTCAATTTATCAATTTTCAATTTTCCAACAAAATTAATAAAGTATTAGAATAGAAGGATTGGACTAAGTGTTATGTGCGAGAAGACAAGTTTTGGATGCAGTCTGTGTTTCATCCTTAAGCTGTAAACACTGACCGAACTGTGCATGCGGGTAGGAACAGGAATGAAAGAACGATTAGTTGTCCCTTTCGAACTGCTGTAAAATAACAGTGTCATGTCACATATTTTGAACACAAAAACAGCACTATGTATATTTCAGCTATATTGCATCTCGGGACATGTTGTGAATCCATGCACTGTGGAGGAAGAAATGTCAGTCCCGTTGAAAGAGCTCATCGAGCGCCATTGTGGGGGTGTTATTGGCGGTTGGGACAATCTGTTAGCTATCATACCGGGCGGCTCATCCGTTCCACTGATCCCAAAAGAGTTAGTTTTGCGTGATTGTCTTTGTAAATTTTTTCTTGTTAGATTAAGATTTAGAGGTGATCGATGATGTTTGATCTTTGATCTGTTTGCGAGAATGTCATAGGTTAGAGTGAAAGTTAATTGCTTCGGCCACTAGTAGAATTAGTATGGGTGCCACGTGTTAGTGACGTAACTGGGATGTTTCG